ACGGTTAGTGAAGCAACAGCGACATGTCCTAAAATTAACCTTTTCCGTTTAGTTAAATTATGTCGCGCCAACTTCCAATCTTCTGGAGTGCCTTCCTGGGTAAGAGGAAATTTTTCACTGTCTTGGCCATGAAGAAACCGAAAAAACCAATTGTCGCTATTTCCATTACCAACTTCTTGCGGCATAATCGAGTCATTATCTGTCTTATGAACAAAGGTAAAATTGTTGGCCATAGGACATCCAACATTCTTTTCGGTTCCAATATTCTTTTTGGATTGATTTTGATTAATATCTAACCCTAATACATATTTCTCAACAGAGACCAATTCTGCAGTATATTTGATATTCTCGACTTCTAAAGTAACTTTATCACTATGAGTATCTTTATCACCAACGATTATGTTGAGCTTGATATCGTCATAAAAGTTAATATTTTTTTCAAACATGGCTGTATATGTTCGATATTCTAATGAATTTATGATGTCATTTAAAACAGGACGGACACGTATCTCAATTTCCTTGACGGCAGTCGCATTTGCATCTTGTTCAAAAGGAATCTTGCGAGTTTCACCATCAGATGGAGGAGTGTTAACGATACGGAGCTCATTACCAATGTTGGCAGTGTTGGCAGAAATAAACTTAAGCTTTATATCAACAATCCCTAGAAGGTTGTTAATAAGGTTTATTTTTCCTATAATAGTGGTCATGAGTATAAAATTCAATTATATAGAGGTTATTAAAGTTTATAGTTCTAGGTAATCTCAGTTATCGTTAAAGAATGAGTCCTTTAATTTGCCAACGTGCGTACGTTTGGTGGGGAAATCTAAAAAACTCAATCACTTTATATTGTTAGAGGCAAAAACGCCACGAACATTACGCCCGAATTCGTCGTGAAACGATGCCCTGGGACAAACTAACAATCCGCTGCAGCAAATCATGTATATGTATGCGCAAGCAAGCCCTATTAACGATTATGCTGAAGGTATCATTGAGAAAAAGCACCTTCCCAATTTGGCTTGGAAGGTATCAAAGTAATATGTGTAGTTAGAAATTGGTTAGAGTAAGGGTTAAAACTAAAGATGTTTTTGTATGCAAAATTTCATTTCCGACACTTTCATTTAATACATTGAGGGTCTCATTTTTTCTTTATTTTCGCATTTTATTTTTTTTACATTTTCTTTGAATTTACCGATCTATTTCATATATGGTTTGTCATTAGAGTGGACTGGAATAGCGGTGTGCATATACTGTATGTGATTTTATTTTTTTACATTGTTTTTGAATTTGCCGATCTATTCTATATAAGGTTTACCATTAGAGTGGATTGGAATAACAGTGATTTTATTTTTGAATTTACCGATCTATTCTATATAAGGTTTGTCATTAGAGTGGACTGGAATAGCGGCATATGCGCATATGTGATTATATTTTTTAATCTACGTATAATTGATTCTTGAATTTACCGATCTATTCTATATAAGGTTTGCCATTAGAGTGGACTGGAATAGCGGCATATGTGCATATGTGATTATATTTTTTAATATACGTATAATTGATTCTTAAAAATTTAGAATTTATAGTAGTTTCACTTGTGTGCTCTTATGAAACCCCTTTTTTCCAGAATGATTATTTCACCATTAAATTCAGAAAGATAACGAAAAAGTGATTTACTTATAGTACCTACTCTTATCTTAACCTTCAACTAATTCAAGCTTTCTTTAACTATACTATATAAAGATGCTTGACGAATGACGAAACTTTCGTCATTGACGATTGACGAAACCTTTCGTCAAGCCAATTTTGAAATG